GCGCGGGGCGGCGCTGCGGGGGGCGCGCCGGGTGGGTTGGGGGGCGCCCCTGGGACGTGGCGGCCTCCCAAGCCCCCTGCCCCATCCCGGCGCTCCCCAGGGTTTGGGTGCTCCTGGGGGTGTGGGTGTCGCCCCGACCCATCCAAGTTGCCCCATGGGACATGGGTGCTCTCCAAACCCACCCTGATGCTCTCCAGGATATGGGTGATCCCCAAACCCACCCTAGTGTTCACCAGGACATGAGTGCTCCCCAAACCCATCCAAGTTGCCCCATGGGACATGGGTGATCGCCAAACCCACCCCAGTGTTCACCAGGTCATGGGTGCTCCCCAAACCCATCCAGGTTGCCCCATGGGACATGGGTGCTCTCCAAACCCACCCTGATGCTCTCCAGGATACGGGTGGTCCCCAAACTCATCCCAGATGCTCCCCAGCACATGGGTAATCCACAGACCCACCCACAGGCTCCTCAGGATGTAGGTGCTCCCCAACCCCATGCAGATATTCCCTAAGATATGGGTGCTCCTCGGGACATGGGTGCTCCCCAACCCCATGCAGACGTTCCCCAGGACATTATGGCTGGAAAAGACCTCCAAGATCATTGAGTCCAAACATGGATCTGGCCTGGGACATGGGTGTTCCTGGGACATGGGCACTTCCAACCCCACCTGGATGCTCCCCCATCCCAGGGGCTCCCCATCCCATCCAGCTGCTCCCCAAGACACAAGGGTTCCCCAGCTCCACCCATGGGTGCTCAATGCCCACAGGTGCTCCCTGGACCCCATCTCCAGATGCTCCCCAAGACTCAAGCATTCCCAGGACCAAGGCGCCCCCCGAGCCCCGCCAATCCTCCCCGGCCGACAAGCAGCTCCTCACCCTTGCCGTGGGGCTCCTGCAGGCTGTGCGTGTCGAGGAAGACGCCGCTGTCGCCGTGCAGCTTCTCGCCGTCGGGCGCCGTGCCCAGCTCGCCGGCGCGCGCCTTGGCCAGCTGCTGCTTCTGCTTGCAGCCGTGCCAGCTGCGGGCCCCGCGGCGTCACCGCCGCGTCCCCGCGCCACCCCCGGCGCCCCGCCGCCAGCACCTACCACTTGAAGGCCACGTAGGCCAGCAGCCCCACCACGACGGCGGCCAGGATGGAGCAGTAGACGGGGATGATGTTCTTGCCCGCGCCCTCGGGCGGCTCCGGCTCCGGCTCACCGGCGGCCGAGGCGTTGGGCGCCGCTCCGGAGCGCTTGAGGACGCGCAGCTCCGCCGAGCGCGGCCGCCGCGCCGGGGACCCCGCGCACCCCGCGGCACCGCAGGGCCGCGGCGGCGCCGACGACGAGCTCCGGGCTGCGGGGCGAAGGATGGGGCTGGGGGCTGCGTTTCGGGGCTGGGGGCTGCGTTTCGGGGCTGGGGGTTGCACTTGAGGATCTGGAGGGTTGCATTTTGGGTCTAGGGGTTGCACTTTTGGTCCAGGGAGGTGCGTTTTGGGGCTGAGGGGCTGCAATTTGGATGCAGGGGGAGTTGCACTTCAGGTCTGGACGGTTGTATTTTGGGTCTGGGGGTTGCATATCGGGTCTGGGGGGTTGCATTTTGGTGCTGGGAGGTTGCCCTTCGGGTCCAGGGGATGGCATTTTGGGTCTGGGGGCTGCATTCTGGGTCTGGGGCTTGCATTCTGGTCTGGGGGCTGCGTTCCAGATCTAGGGGTTGCATTCTGGGCCCAAGGGATGGCATTCTGGATCTAGGGGCTGCATTCTGGGTCTGGGGGCTGCGTTCTGGCTCTAGGGACTGCATTTTGGGTCTGGGGGCTGTATTCTGGGTCTGGGGCTTGCATTCTGGTCTGGGGGCTGTGTTCTGGATCTAGGGGCTGCGTTCTGGCTCTAGGGACTGCATTTTGGGTCTGGGGGCTG